TTGCATCTGGAGTGTTCAGTCAAAAGATTTCCAAAAAAACCGTTTCCATCAGAAAAAAAATTTTATAACCATTTATCGATGTTGCTGCACGTTCACTCTCTTGAAAGTCTTCATGCTCCTCTTCTTTTCAAGTGGATAAGACGATGAAGGCGATTTTTCTCCCTGGATTTTGCAATCAGCGAAGCGTTCTTCTAAACAGATTTTCCTTAAGGATCGCGGAAACGAGCATCACCACGGGGTCCGTAGCTTCATTATCAGACTGTTCTCGAGTTTATCGCGAATCTTTACAGTTAGCTTAGTGCACAGGTCGACTAAACATAACGGCACGTCACGTTGATTGTGATCGCATTGCTCATGAGATGCATGCAAAACTGGTTTGATGGAAGATACGAGAAAATGAAGCTTCATGCCTGTTCATACACGCTGATAACGTGTGAATGGTTTTTAAAATGTCTGAAGACTACGAGTAATAATTTTATAACTTGATCTAACGGAAAAGGACAACTATCTAATGACTTAGAATCATCGAACATTACAGCAGCATGGAACACAAGGGCGCATGAACAGTATCATAAGCTCTTGTGCGCCCACATCAAGTTGCCGTATTTTCTAAACAGTTCGCAGATCATCAGAATGACACCCAGGTTTTGGATGGTTGCATCGCAACGCAACTTTGGTAAATTCTCCGCTCAAGAGAAGTCAAGAACGCGCAGCGAACGGCTGAATGGTCCATATGTGTTGAATGGCAGAACTGACAACTTCAGTGGCCACACCCACATAAGCGCGGTCTTTTTCCGAATCGTGCATTCGTTAATCCCGATCTGAAACTCAACCTGACATTTCTACGGATCTGGTAGACGACATACCTATGCATTCCTGCTCTTTCATTATCCTCTGTTCTAAATAGAAAGAAGCAGCACATCAAGTTCCACAGTAGAAAACAGCGTATCCAGTTTTAGCATGTCGAATTTGTTTCAGCGATGACTTGTTTAGATTTGACACCAATAACATGTTCCGATGGCAGTCTTCCACTTGGAGGCGAAACACCCCTTTTGTGTGGGCCGAAGGCTGGCGGTATCGAATGTCCCGAGAACTACTTTTGCCATCATGCCGCAGTCGACGTATGCTGTCCTAATAACGTCGACAAAAAGGGGCCGCTTCCACCTGGTGCTCCATCCATGATACCGGATGTGCCAAAAACAGCTCCGGGAGAAGGCGGTTTCGACCAAGCAAAGGGGGTACTAGCCCCTGCTTTAGAACCGGAAGGTACGCAGATTTTTTTTTTTGCCTCAAGTTGTAACTGATCGAAACATTTTACAGGTTATATACTGCCTATGATAGAACCGGAACCTGTTATAACGTCGTTTGTTAGACCACCGTTTCATCATGTGTATTCGCCGTATGGTGGTCCACCTCAACCACAGCTAGTCTATCCGTCAACTTATGAACCTCCTCGGTATCAAACTACCTATCAGCCAGAATTATATCAATCTACCTATCAACCACCGCCTTACCTCAGTACTGAACGTGTTTCGATCTATCC